ACTAGTAATGATTTAAAGATGCATGATATCATATATTCTAATAATATAACTGTAGATACTAAAGAAAAATTAAGGCAGAGCAAAGGATGAAAACAGGGAAGAGGGTCTAAACAATAGGGACTATTTATTGTGTTTGTCAATATATCCTAACACTTTAGAAGAGCCCTAGGATAGTTATTTCTTGAATAAAGGAATAAAAATTATTTAAGCTCAGAGCAAACTTGGAGAAAAGCTATATGGACAGCTTTTTCCAATCCAATCTACTTATTTATATGGCTCTTGTTTTTGCTTCTACTTGGTCATTAGCTATCACTGCATCACAATTGCATATCTGTTTGCCCCCACTGACCAAGGGCAAGAACCATGCCCATATTCACCAGTGCTCAGTACCGGACATGAGCAGCACACACAAAAATGCACAGCAAATGTGTGACAAATGCCAAATCAAATGCCAACAGTCACACCTACCTTGCAGATCAACAGTGCATTCAACTTATCTGTTAGCCCAGAGGCCTACCCACAAATCTGGAAGATTTGAACTACTAAAGACCTTTAAGTTTGGAAAATGTTATTTGTTTGTGATCTGGGTCATGAAACACATCTGTACCATGCTTTCTTGTTTAGAAAACTCTTTTCTGTACATCATCACACTGAACCGTAATAATATTCCTAGGGGAAAGCATTGTTACTCTCATTTTCCAGACAAAGAAGCACAAGTTCAAGAAGTTAAAAATGGTCTAGACAGATGGCTCAGAGGTTAAGAAAAGCCATTGTTCTTCCAGAGGACCTGGGCTCAATTCCTAGCACCCACATGGCAGCTAACAACCGTTCATAACTCCAGTTCCAAGGAATAAAATGCCCTCTTCTGGCCACCACAGGCATTGCATGACACAGGTGCACTTACATGCAGGCAATATACACATACACAAAAAATAGAAATAATAAATATTAAAAAGTTAAAAACTATGTAATCAAAAATAGGGAAACGAGACTAGATCCAAGGCCCCTGACCTCTCCAGCACCTTTCAAAATCATGGGAAGAGCTGAATAAAGCAAACATGTCTTTGAGTTGGGCTTTAATCCCTCATGGACAAGTGGAGAGGGCTTTGTGGTTGGAAGGACTCACGAGGCATGAGGTTGCAGCAAGCTAAAGCAGGCACTGGGCTTGGACTTCTTGTTCTCATCTGTTGGCACAGTCTTGTGTAAGGGAAGGTGCTCTTGAATTTAGAACCTGACCTCTCTCTGCTGTTTATTAATACCCTTGAGCAAAGGACTATTCCTGTCTGAACCTTGTTATTCACACCTCTAAAATGGGGCTTTAATCTCTATTCCTGAAGATATTGTAAAAATGACATGAGAGATTCAGGCAAATGCATCTTGCTCTTGTGAAGCAGACCCTCTGCCTTAGACAGTTTTCACTGGCTCCTTCCTGAAATTCAGTCTATCAAGAACGTTCTACTTGATGTTTCACCTCTCACTGATATTGGACAGAGGAGAAAAGAGGATGGTAAAGCTGAGCAGAGTATGGGAATTGTCAACTACCCTTGTTGCATCATAAGAAATGGCCCTGGCCCTGTGGGGACAGTACGGGGGTAAAGTCAGCTGGTATCAAGCCATAGCATATATAGAGTAGTGGAAAAGGACAACCCAATGGTCATTTGTTGATTGCTATTTACTGTTTATTCCAAAGGTATTATTTATCTTTGCTTTACTGTGATACAATACTTGATGCAAGCAACTTAGGGAGGAATGATTTATTTTGGCTCATAGTTTCAGAGATTTCAGTTCAGAGTCCTTCTCTCTGTTGATTCTAGGTCTGTGGTGAGGCAAAACACCATGATAGTCTATGTGGAGAAGTCTGTTCAGTGAGGAAAAGACTGGAGATGCCAGTGACCTACTTCCTCTAAGTTTGCATTATCTCCTAAACTCCCAAATAGCGCCACCATCTGGGGACCAAACATTCAATACATGAGCCTATGGGACAGCTGTATTTAAACCTTAGCACATAAATATAACAACAGATGAGAGCCCAAAGTCCTTGGGTGGACCCTTTGGGTCCCTCCTAGATCATACACCCCTAATCTTTTCCCACCCCTAATCTGTGGGCAGCTGGAGTCTACTCTCTATACCCAATATCTGCTGGGAATCGTGGTCCAGACCGTCCTCTGGGCCTCCTCCTCTCATTATCAGCATCAGCAGCAGCACAGATTGGATATGGTGGGATATGACTCCAATACTGTTTCCATCTGCATTTCCTGTCAGTTTTGGCCTTCACCCCACTCAGTCTTCTGCAGTGTTTCCTGGATCATGCTCAGAACCAACCTGCCTCTATACTGTTACCTTTGCTTGGAACATCCTTCCGCAGAGTTTCCACTGGCATTTGATCACAGATCTTTGCACAGCTTCGTGGCTAGTCCGAGACCACTTACTCTACCAACACTGACTTGTTTTGCTTAGAAGGACCATGGGACTATGGTCTTGTAAACCTCACTGCATATAAGGTAGAATGCCAGATTTACCAAGTGAAAATAAAAGATATCCAACTAAATTTGAATTTCAGAGAAATAAGGTTTAGTTTTTAGTATGTCTATATAATGATTGGGACATATTCATACTAAATAATTATTTATCTGAAATTTACATTTAATTAGAAGCCTGTATTCTATGTGGCTGTCTTTTTTCCTGTGCTTGTAAATCTATGATAGCTTAACATCCTTTTGGGAAGGGTGATGGATTAGTTACTACTTGGACTCGAAGAGGCCTGAATACCTGGAAGTGGTGCTGGTCTGAGGACCCACTTACTCTAGAGTCTGAGTTTCACAGACCAAAGGGAGGATACACTAGTTCACAAAGTGGGTGACTGCCCTTGGCTGGTTTCAGAGGGGCGTCTGATGACGAAATGTGATCCTGCCATAAAATCTATACCAAACCAACTCTTTTCACAGCCCACCCGCCCTCCTCAAAGGGGGCACATAATCCCCATTTATGGAGCCTAGCAGCTGGATCGGGTCTGAGTCTTTGAAGGTGAGCTTGAGGTACCCTGTGTCAGTCAGCCCTGGACGGAGGAACATGAGAGTGAGGGCATTTAGCTGAGCAAGTTGAAGGACCAGCAGGTCATGGGTCATCTAGCTCAAGGGGCACAAGGCAGAGCAGAGCAGTCAGAGGGGTTGGAGATGGACATTCAGCACACTCATCGCTCAGAATGTGTAGGAACTGGAACTTTTTCCAGCAGCTGAGAAGGAAGACAGCAGGCTTGCTGGAGAGACATTTGGTCCTCTTAGGGACATGATTTCAGAGCCCTTAGAAGGCTCTGGAAATAGTGCAGGCAGAATGATTTCAATTCTGCCTCAGGGTGGAAGTGTAGACCCAGTGAACATATCAGGAGGTAGCATCTGGGCCCTGCGCCTGGCAGGGTCAGGGGATGGAGATTCTGAGGTGGACATCTTCATCCTCAGGACCTGAGCCCTCTGTTACAAGGCCAACCTTGACTGAACAGTGAGACCCAAACTAAAATCAATAAATAAAAGCAGGGGGTGGGTGTCACATGGTCACAGGGCTTCTGTCAGTAGATTTCAGGGCAGGGGCACTATCTGGAGGAAAGAACAAAGCTCAGCAGGCCACCTCAGAATTCCCCCCTATATTTGAGACCAGAGGAATATTCCATCTGGGAAAGTGTAGGAGTTAAAGACAACAGTTTTTTTCTCTCTTTTATTCATAAAAACAAATTTGCAACAATTTATTAAAAATCGATACCATGCAGTAGGGGTGAGAGAAACTTCTCATTTACATTTGATCCTGGCAGTTCCGGTCTAATTTAAAGCGTTTTGTGCACTAACATCATTGGAAGATGCCGTCGGGCGGAAGCCTCTTGGAAATGGACCGTGTGTTTGCTGCATATAAAAGAACAGAACCAGTAGATAGCTAGAGTTACTTTGTGGGGCTTGTTAACTGGGGGGAAATAAAAAAAAAACAAAAAACAAAATGGGTGAACCTACAGGATCAGCAGACAGAGAATGTACCTGTGGGTTAACCTAGAAGACGGAGCACATTTTGGAGTCACAAGGGGTTACAGACGCACGCTCACCTCTGACAGTCCAATACTTTTGTTTTCCTGCTATGTTGGAATAATATTTCTACAGGTATTTTTTTGTGTGTATACATTATGTACAATTAATTATCTCTTTCCCTTTGAAAAATTAATGTGATCCTTTAAATGAAATTTGTTTTTGGTGAAATCAAGAGAGCAAGGAAATACTGATTAATACACAGTGAGTGACAACACGATTTTTTAGTGCCTAAACAGAGTGACCTCAACTTGACCTGTGATGTGTTGACAGTTTTTTCTCCCCCTAAAAGCTACAGAACCTCGGTAACCTCTCTTTGAGGGAGGGGAGGGGAAAGCTATGCTATGTAAAGTAGGGTGTTTTGAAATGTTGGCGATGGTGATTCCCATGGGCCCTTTCGACACAGCCTGGTAGTTGACAACAGTGTGTTCCTGACTGCAGTGGTTTTGGGAAGAGATTATTGCCTGCCTGTTGAAGCTGCCATTAGGGTTCTTTAGGGAGTGAGCAAACCGCTCAGTTGTGCAGACACCTGGATACCGTCATTCAAAGAATGAACCTGCCTGGAAATGTCAGAAGGGTCACGATCTCTCTCCAGCTGGGCTGTTCCGCACAGACAGCATGCTGGAAGATTCTCTGAGCCACACGGCACACCCAGCTTGTGGGGAGCTGAAGGTCATAGTCACACTAATACCTCACGGGTCAGGGCTGCTTCACTGGTGTAAAGCTTTCCTGGATGAGAGCAAGTGTCCATTCTCAGAATGACCCTGTGAGGTAGGCAGGATGGGTGTTATTTCAACCCCAGAGGGGAAACAGGCTCAGAGAGACACTGGTGACTTGCCCAAGGTCACTGAGGGAGTTGGAGGGGACCAAGGACTCAAACCCAGGTCCGTCTGACTCCCAGGCTAGTGCTCTTTGGGCCTTCAATTCCAATGGAAGTATGACCTAATGGATGAGAACCAGCCTGCCATCTGACCACCCCCAGTGATACTGAAGGGGACAGCTCACTGGCTGGAGGGGTGATGAAAGGCTGCCTTCTGGAAGCCAGGGGAAGCCCTGGCCAGCAGCTCTTGCCCCTGGGACATGGGGATGACTTTTAGTAGAATGCCCCTGATTCACTTTGGTCAGAAACAAAGAGGGAAAAAAAAAAACAACCAAAAACCAAAAACCAAAAAAAACAACAGAAAACCCCAGCAGCCCTTGGGCCCCCATGGGAGAAGTTAAAGTGCACAATCTTTCTTTATCATGTTTGCTCGGAGCAGACATTCCAAGATTAGCTCAGGTGGTCCCCCTTATTACCGGGAACCCTCAATTTGAACACGAGAACATGGCTGACGTGGTGGGTGCATGACAGACTGTCGGTGAATACTGCAGAGAGGGTCTGCAGCAACGTGCCCTAAGTCCCCACGGTCCCCAGAACGGGTGTTATTGTTAATGTGTGGCATTTTTCAGAGAGTAACAAACATCTCTCTGATGATGGAGGGCCCCTGGGAGCATGCGCAGTTGCCTGCTCAGGTTCCCCCAGCCCCAGGGCTCTGCCCAGCTGCTCTTCCAACTCCCTGTTCCATCCAGGGAGGCAGGGGCGGGCGGGGCCAGCCGCTGGGAACATGGTGGTCCTGCTCACCTCCTCCTTCAGAGTGGAGAGGGGCTGGCGGGGAGTCACCGCCGATGACGTGTGTGCAGAGTGCAGAGGCCATTTCTGCGGAGCCCTTGCTCTGGGCCACTCGGCGAGGCTGGCTGGAGTTCGAGGTCTCTCTCCTTGTCTAGAATTTTTTTTGTTTTTGCAAGTTTCAAACATCCCAACTCCTCTTTGTTTGTAGACATGAAGGAAGAAGTCATTGCCCATCTCTCTTCTGTGAAAGAGTAAGAACTTCACAAATAAGGCTCGAGGTCAGGTGCCGAGTCCCTGGTCCACCCGAGTGCCATCCACGCAGTCTCGCGAGGCAGTGCGGTGCCCAGCTTCTTGCCAACAGTGTGCCGGTGTCAGGTGCCTAGGCCCAGCATGGTGCTGTCCCCGGGGAGGTCCCGGCCCCAGGCCTCCCACCCCTACAGGCCCGAGACCATGACTCGGAAGGAGGGTGGCACGTGTCTGTGGCGGGGGCTGGCTGTGGGGCTGACACAGGGGCTGACGCAGCTGGCATCCACGCCTCCAATGGACGGGAGGTAGGCGTGGTGGAGGATGGGGAGCTGGAGGGACAGCCGGCGCTGGATGCTGCAGGGAAGAGAGGCCGAGTTAGCGAGCTGGTCTCAGGAAATCTCCCTGCACCCACATGCTAAAGTTAGGAGCCTGTGTCCTGAATCCAAGATCTGTTTTCCAATCATCTAACACTTCGATCATGCCCCAAATGCCCTCTTGCCCCACTTGCTTACTGTCTCGGGAATAGCCAGGGAGACCCGCAGGAACAAGGGGGATGCAGTCTTCCCTCCTGTGGTCCAGGGCTCGCTGACTATTATAACTACCATCTCAAGATTATGAAGGGCAAGCCAAGGCTTCACCCACAGGTACCCCTCATTCTCCAGTCTCACAGAGCCTGGGTGTGGATGTGGTCAGTCCCATCCCTGAAAGGCTTCCCTGCTGCCCGGTCCTCCCCTCTACCTTCTGCTGCCCCTTTGCCCAGCAGCACATGCCTGCCAGCAGGTTCTTTCCTGGTCTTTAGTTTCTTTCCAACACTGGGAAGCCATGGAAAGGAAGAAGCCACTCCTAACCCCCTCTCCTCCCCCATGTGGCCATGACCCTCCAGGTCCCTCAGATCTTTCCAGACTCTCTAGGTGAATCTTCTGTCCCACCCTGGTGCCCTCTGGTGCCCCCCTTCTGCCATGCCTTCTGGTGACTTGTTTTCTTCACAACCCACCCACCCCATCTGGAACAATCTTCGTTTACTTCCTGACTTCATTACCCAGTTTAAATATCATCCTATTTGTGCCACCTTCTCTAAGCATAAGCACCTTCCTCCTCAAAGAAGCTGGAAATGGGGCTGAGCTGGGGTGGAGCAGGGGTGAGGGCAAGGGGGGTCATGGGAGGCACTTGTATTCCACTGATGGAGGGACAGCAAGAGAAAAAGTGTCTGTCCTCTGGCTTCCTTCTCTTGGACACATTCTTAAAATCTTAATGATTGTCAAGTCAGTAAGTTGCTCTGATTTCTGGAAAGGCTGCTTATGGGGGAATGTGCCCAGGGGACAGCTCCCTGCTCTCTGCTGCATTTCTGCTCAGTTCTGCATTGCAGTGCTCCTTAGACTTCATCCCTGAGGGAAGGGACTGGAGTCTTTGCCTCCTGGTATTCCCAGTATCTGGCCACTCCAGTGCAAATCAAACCAAATCAAACTCAGATCTTCACAAAACAAAAAACAGAACAACAACAACAAAACAGCAGGCAAAGAGAACAGTATTAGTATACCTATTGTGAAGACAAGAGAAAGCGTCAGGGTTTCTTTAACTTGTTCAGCGAAACAGAGGCTGAACCCAAAACAGGGAAGTTGGGACCTTGCTTTTTATAGTGGAGACAATCAATCCGCAGAGTGGTCCATCCCAACAGGATGTGCCCCTGGGGCTTACTCAGGGCTCATGGGTTCTGAGATGTGTGGGTACAGATGAAGTACACTACTGCTCCCCAAGGATTTGTTGCTCAGAGAGACTGCTTAGACAACTCAAAGGTGTTCACAGAAGACAGTGCTGGGAATTTTAACTGTGATCTCATGCTGACAGAATGAGCTGGAGCCCTGGTGGGAAGAGGGGACATTCTAAACTCTAAAGAGAAACACTTATGTCCCCCCACGCTAAGAATAGAGATATTGGAGGAGGCCTGGGGTCATGTCACCTTCTGCCCTAATGGTTAAACTGTCTCACACCTAAATCAGCATATCCAAAGTTTTCTATAAATCCTCAGACAGCCACCAGCACACTGGAGAGGAAATAGGCTCTTTCTCTCTTCAGTTTGGCCAAACTGTAAATAAATCCATTTTCCTTTACTAATTTTTATATCCCAATTTCTTTTGAAACACAGAATATAGGGACACTAAGGCAGCAGATTAGGGAGCTATGTGACAGATATCAGTTTCACTTTGAAATTACAGTCGAACTTGTGTAATGTCATTCCTTAGGGCAAGATGCCCACCCAAGTAGCCAGGGCAAGGCTGTCTGCCTAGGCAAGGCGGGGTTACCATTTGATCTGAGAGTCATGGTCTTCTGCTGTCTGTTGAGCTCCTGTTCTCCCACAGTCAACACGTGTTTGCCAGGAGCCTACCCTGAGTTCAGTCCAGGAGACTGACAGAGACTCTCCTCACTCTGGAGGTCGTGGACCAGTGAACTGATGCTGGGCACACTGGCAGCTATTCTGAGGCACAAGCTGGTTGGTCTTGGCATTTACTGGGTCAACAGCCTATGGATTCTAATATTACATGGAGGGGGTGACTTGCTTGCCTTTTCTGATTCCTTTCTGCTTGCCACTTCCCTGAGGCCTCGTAGAGTTTGCATATCTAACCTCTGCTTCCAATCTGCTGGAAAGAGCTAAAGTCGCTGGTGGGAGCAGAGCTAACTGAGATGCTCCAGGTCTTTGATTAGACATCACTGTCTCATTGTGTCTCCCCGGACCCACCTTATTTAAAATGAGCACCCTTCCCTGCTCCATTTTCCCCCAAAGCACCTATCATTAACATGCTATGTTTTGCTTTTTAATTAAGCCATTGGCCTGCTAGACAGAATGGAGAATCTACAAGACACAGGAAAGATGGAGTGAAGGAAATCTCTCTCTGTTTTTTACACTACTGTGTCCCCAGCATCTACCAGACACTTAATAAGTTCCAATTACCATTAAGCAAATGAATCTGACAAAGTTACATTTTGCACACAATAATGAGATGTTGGACGGTCCTGAGTTCAAATCCTACTTTCTATACTCAAGTGTTAGGTGAGCTTGGATGGGTATCTCTCCCTTTTGGATATTAATTTTCTCACCTGTAAAAGGAACATTGTCATATGGCTGCATTGTTAGATCATGCGGAGTTCAAATAAAATAACAGCCGTGAAACTGCAGTTACGGTAAGCAGCTGTGTACAGTAACGTGTGTGCTCCTGGGTTTGATTCTCATGGAGAAGGTACTTACTGCTCTGGTGAGTTGATGTCTTCTATAGGGTCTTTGCATGTCCGAGAGGGCTCTGTTGTATTCCACTGTAGTTGGGGGTTTTGATCGAGATGATTTTTTAAAATGGTCTTTCCTCCATCTGTTGAATACAACATCACAAGTTCTATGAAGTCAGTTTTTAAGAATCAACCATGCAACCCTGAGGATGCGTTCCATGGAGAGAGAATGTGACAGAGTCCTGATGCCTCTGCATTCTCCCAGTCGGGGGCTATGTCCCCAGGTTCTGTCCTCCAGAGCTACTAAGACGGAGGCAGTGAGCTGAGGAGATGGCATCTGTGGATAGCAGCGACAGGCTGGGGCAGTGTATGCCCAAGGAAAAAAAGGGGAAAATCAAGTCGACTGATGTGGATAACTCAGTTTAGAAGTGAGGAATTCTAATACTACACCCCTTCCCACTGGACATGGGGATATAACAAGAGAGAAAAACTTTCTATGGTATATTTTTGGTAAAATTCACAAAAAGTAAAAAGAGTAAGAGCAAACTGCTGGTAGAATAGAAATTGTCATAACCTTGCTGAGAAGCCTTGTCAAAGTGCATTTTTTTTCCTACAGCATTGGGATTGAACCCACAACTGGTGCATGCTAGACAAGCACTTAGCACTGAACTCTAGCTCTAGGTCCTTTTATTATTATTATTTAGAGACCATGTCTTGCTAAGTTGCCCAGGCTGGACTTGAGCTTGCAAATCCCCTGCCTCTGCCTCCTGAACAGATGGGATTGCAGGCATAATTGGCCAGAATTTCTGTTTCTGGAAACTATCGTAAGCAAACTACCAAGACGTGTGAAGGCGCATACAAGATGTTCAGCTTAGCACCATTTATAACATGGAGATGCTGATGCTTGTCTGAGGTTGTCCAGTGACAATATCCAGTTATATAAGTTTTGGGGCCTCCATTCAAATGAATATGTGTGGCCACGTGAATCTATCCTCAGGCTTCCAAAGTATCAGGGGATATTACAGAGGTATGAAGACCATACCCCATCCAAGAGATTTGGGTTTACTGGGCCAGGCATGTGAGTGCTTTCATTTGGTTTCTGCTGCTGTGGGGGATGTTATAAGCATGCCATTTGGCACCCACGGGAGCTGATCACCACCATTCATGGATTCTTTGTGAACTCATCCACTTGCTAACCTGTACTTGTCACACTCTGATGAAAATCTGGATGAGTCGAGGTCATTTGCTGATATGTCTGAAGTGTAAGAAATGTCGAGTTGCCTTGTGGCATACAGGCAGCTGAGGTGAGGCTTTTAACTTTCAGCTTACTATTAGTAGCTTTCTTGAGGTCAGTTAGTGTTTGGTGACTTTGCTGTTTAAAATGGTCCCCAAGTACAGCTCAAGAATATTGACATATGCCTTGTAGAGAAAACACATCTGTGAGGCAACATCCACCAGGCTCCAGCTACAGTGCCACTGGCTGTGCTGATGGATCTACAGTATGTATTAGGAAAGCATCTTTAAACAAAGATATGCATAAAACAGGGTAAGATATTGCTGACTGGGAGGAGCTCACAGGAACCTCAGCCTGTACTTTCCAGGAGCAACAGTGCAGTACTTGCCACTGTTCATGGTGACTCTACAGAATGTAACTGTATCAATGCCATGAATAAAGAGAATCAACTGTCTGTCGCTAGTGCTGTGGTCTGAATGTGTAATCTAATTTTTGTTTTGTTTTTTTTGAAACAGGGTCTCCCTGTAGCCCCAGCTGGCCTGGCACTTGATATGTAGACCAGGCTGGCCTCAATTTCACACACAGATCTGCCTGCTTCTGCCTCCTGAGTGCTAGAACTAAAGGCATGTAACCACCATGCTTAAATTTATTTTTTTGGGATGGGGTATTCGCTATGTGGTTCAGGCTGGCTCAAGTGATCTTCTTGCCTCAGCCTTCTGGGTAACTAGAACTATAGGCTTGTGCCATTGCACACAGCACCCATGCATTGAAACTTGACCACAATGAAGAGGCAGAGACTTTAGAAGGAGATTAAGTTAAGAGGCCTTTATGGAAGGGTTCAGTGCCCTTCTAAAAATGAGGCCAGGCATGGTGGCCTTTGGTCCCAGCACTTGGAGGCACAGGCAGGTGGATCTCTGTGAGTTCAAGGCCAGCCTGGTCTACATAGTGAGTTCCAGGTCAGCTTGTGCTACAGGGAGACCCTTTCTCAAAAAGATCAAAGAAAAAAGTGAATGAGGGAGTGGGTTTGAGCCTTTCTGTCCCTTCTACCTGTGAGGATAGTGTTCCTCTCTTGTAGAGAATGAAGCTGTCAGACCCAAGGGTCTGTTGTCTCAGAAACAGAAACAAAGACCTTTCTAGACCTTTCTGAGCCTACCAATACCTTCATGCTGGACTCCTAGCCTCCAGGAGTATGAGAAAATACATTTCTTGTGTGTGTGTGTGTGTGTGTGTGTGTGTGTGTGTGTGTGTACGTACATTGGGTTATCATTCTTCAGCTGCTGTCTACTTTTTTTTTGAGACTGGATCTCTCACTGGTCTGAAGCTCACAAGTTGGTGAGGCTGGCTGACTGGTGAGTCCCAGGGATCTGGCTGTCTGTTTTCCCAATACTGGGATTACAGTGTGCCATCAGACCCAACTTTTTTTTTTTTTTTTTTGGAGGCAGAGTCTTACTACGAAGCCCTGGATGGCCTGGAACTCTCTATGTAGACCAGGCTGGCCTCCAGTTCACAGGGATCTGCTTCTGGAGTTCTGGGATTAAAGGCACGCACCAGCATACCCAGCCACACCAAGCTTCTTATGAGTTCTGGGCTGAACTCGGGTCATCATCTTTTAAAGCAAACACTTTACTGAATGAACCATTTCTGGTTCATTCTCCCTTGCTTCCATCTCTGTTGCTTTTAAATTACCCAGTTTGTGGTTATAGCAGCACAGTTAATGACACACAGAATAAACACCAACAGTAGAATTGCTGGGTTGGAACAATGTCTGCTTCAACTAGCGATGTTCGAAGTCTTCTTCCCCATTTTCTTACTTTATTAGTAACTTTGTTGGTGTCTGAATCAGGATCTTACTATGTAGGCCATCCCAGCTTCAAACTCTCCATCCTTCTGCTCCAGCCTCCTGAGTGCTGGGATCACAGGTGTCTACCGTCATACTCAGTTTGAATTAAAAATATTTTTGGGCATATTTTATTGCTTGATTTAAAAAATACTTAAAATAGCTTATGTGTTGTGAAAACAGACTTTTTAAAAGCTATATTTATTAACCTTTCCTTTGGTGGCTTCTGTTTTATATCAATCCAAGAAAGACCTTCCTCTTCCGAGACTATTTAAAAAAAATTATCCTTTGGTTTCTTCTCATGCTTTTATGGTTTTATTGTTTAAGTCTTTGTCCATCTGGAATTAACTTCTGTGTTATGTATGAGGCAAAGATCTGCATCTCTTTTTTTCCACATGGCTACTCATTTATTCCGGTGAAGTTAAC